CCCTCCCCTCCCGCCCCAGACGGCCCCGCTGCTTCGCGTCTACCTTGTGCTGGCGGTGGGCATGCTGGCGGGGCTGGCCGGCGCTCTCGCGCAGGGGGTCGCCTGGCTCCTGCAAGACGACGGCATCGACTGCCCCGACGCTCTGGGCTCTTGTCTCCGGCTCCCGTCGGCCCCCCGCCCGGACGCCGAGCGGGCGAGGAGCCATGGCGGCTTCGACAGGCGGAGGCTGCAGCAGCCGCACTTCAACCAGACCTTCAGGGTCAGGCGCGTCGGCGTCGTCTAGGCAGGCGTCGCCATGTACACTAGGCAGCCATGTAGAGTAATAAACCGCACCACATGACCTCAGTCGCCTTTCGCGTCCTGGCGGAGTCAGCGGGGGAAGGGGAGGGCGAGAGGAGGAGGTAGGAAAAAGAGCGTGGGGTTGAGAGTGGGAAGAAGGAGGAAAGAGATGTTGGAGATCGGCACTGGCGCGAGGAGGCTTGTAGGTGCTGTGCGAGGAGCAAGAGAGGATCAGGGCTGGAGACTCTTGCTACAAGCCAGCCGTCGCATGTTTTTTGCTTTCTTTCTCCTGCTGCCTGTCCAAGAGGGAGAGACCTTGTAAGGCGAGGATGGTCGTGAGGTGATATGTCAGCATGTTGTCTTGTTGGAGGAAGGGACGGTTGTTCTATCAGATTTCTTGGACTGACACCAGACACCAGATGTCTTCCAGATCAGAGATGCTATTTCAACAGCATAAGCTACATCGCTCAGTTGAAATGTTGACGTCTGGCATCGACAAACTTGCTAAGGTTTTGTGGTGGAGTATGAAGCAGGGAGGAACATGTTCACAGCGATGTTTATGATGCTTTTCTTGTTTAATAATGAGACAATCTGATCTTCTTTACCAGGGGCGGTTGTCGAGGTCAGAGTTCCATGAGGGCCAAGTGCCGTTGAAGGCAAGGGGGAGCTGCTCATGCTGCAGACAAGACCGTTAGCACCAGCCATGCTTTCATTCCCTTCCCCTCTTCCTCCTCCTCCCCCTTCCGCTTCCATCTTCCTCTCCTTCTCCTTGTTATGATTGACTCACATGCTGATACTCCTGACGCCACATCCACAAAGTCTGAAACATTTTGATTGTCTGTGGAAGAATCAGTCAGGGAAAATTACAGCTTTCAGGCATATAACACTGTCGGACTGTTTTCTAATCAGCAGCTGCTGTCTAGAAAACAGTCCTGTGACTTCAATTTAATCCCTCTGCTCAATTCAGCCCTATCTCTCTTCATTGTTCCCTATTTTCTTCACCAAACATCTTCGGTTGGTGCTTTTGACGCGAATTCCTCTACCTCCCGCACGAACTTTTTCTTACATCGCCTTTCGACGCCTCCTCACCTACCCTTCCAACTCCCTAGCTCTCCCCCTAGCTCTCCCTCCTCTTCATCTCCCTCCTCTTCATCTCCCTCCTCTTCATCTTCCTCCTCTAGCCCTCCCTCCTCTTCATCATCTTCCTCCTCTTCATCTCCCTCCTCTTCATCTTCCTCCTCTAGCCCTCCCTCCTCTTCATCATCTTCCTCCTCTTCATCTCCCTCCTCTTCATCTTCCTCCTCTAGCTCTCCCTCCTCTTCATCTTCTTCCTCTTCATCTCCCTCCTCTTCATCTTCTTCCTCTTCTTCGCACAGGTCCCTCACCTTTTTCTTGCTCCTCGCTTTCGCGCTTCTCCTTTTATCTTGACTAAAAAAGATCTATTTCCGGCATCACCAAATCCGTCCACTAGAACAACTTTACAAGTTGGCCCTCCGACTCAGTAACCTGGTCCGGCCCCCGGACTCGGCCGGCGTGCCGGGCCCGGCCTGACGGGCCAGTGACTTAACACTTTGAGTAAAGTGGCCCAGTGCCACCGGCCCAGTGCACGACTCCGGGCCCGGGAATTCCCCTGAGGCCGGCCGCCGGCAGGGTGACTGAGGAGCCGCCGGGGCAGGGAAACGGTTGAACGATTCCGCTAGTCGCCGCCTACTCAGTCGGACTCGTTGCCGCATGGACTGACCGGAACCGTCACAAGTCACTGGGCAAGAAGTAGAGTTGTGTGTATTTCATGCTCCTCCTATCTCCTCTCCCTCCCCTCCTCATCCTCTTTCTCCTCCTCCTCCCGCCGCTCCCCTCCCTCCCCTTCTCCTCCTCCTCCCTCCCCTTCTCCTCCTCCTCCCTCCCCCTGTACTTGGTTTTCTGTATCCCTGTCCCTCTCATCCTGCTCCTCCTCTCGCCTCTCTTCTTGTTTGTCCGTCGTTTGTTTTCCCTGCTCCTTCAAGGTGACCAGTTAGCCCAACATGATTGACCTTCAACCAATCCTCCCTCTCCCTCCCCTTCCTCCTCCCACCCGCAACTCTTTCCCTCCTCCCTCTCCCTCCTCTCCCTCCTCTTCATTGCTCCACCCACAACTCTCACTGCAAACTCTCCTCCTCCCTTCTCCTCACCTCCTCAAGAGTATTCACGTTGAGCACCCGAGGAGCACTGACGGGGTAAGGTTTCTGCTAGAGAAAATCAGGCAGAAACAGGAAAGCAGGAGCAGGAGCAGGAGCAGGAGCAGGAGCAGGAGCAGGAGCAGGAGCAGGGTGTGGAAGGGAGGGAGGGGAAGGAAGCAAGCCAGGGACCTGCGAGGTTTGCTGTTGCTGCTCTTCGAGACTTTTCTTGATGGTCTTCTCAAAAGCTTCTCGAGCCTCCGCAGACCAGTGAGACCTGCACCAACCTCTTATCTTCCTGACCCTGCCCCTGCTCCTGCTCCTGCTCCTGCTCCTGCCCCTGCCCCTGCCCCTGCCCCTGCCCCTGCTCCTCTTCTCCTCCTGCTCCCTGCTCCCTG